CATACTTTGAAATCTGTTCAACTATCTCACTTCAACATTTCTTCCATTTGCTTTTGCCATTCTATATTTCAACAACTTTTAGAGTCTCTTCTGGAACCCATTTTTTCTCTATCTTTTTATTGTTCATTATTAAATCCTTCATGCCATCCCAAAACTTGTTTTGTCTTCAGTCTGTAATACTTAACACAACAAGTCTATTCTTGAACTGGTCTCTAAAGTTAGGTCGGACTTACTAAAGCTTTTGCTTTACTTCTCATGGACTTCTTTTCATTTTTTTCAGCTTTGTCCCGGGCTTACATATGAGCAATTGATAGTCTGTCCCCAACCTTGCCCTAACAGATAATATGGAGTGTTTGCAGTGCCTCTTTCCACAGATCCAGTTAATTTGATTGCTGTGTAATCCACCTGGGAAGTCCATGGGAATAGTCACTGTGTATTGTCACCAATTATCTGTCCGTTTGTTGTACTGTGGTGCCTTGTGTGTTGCTGTGAGGCTGGAAGCTATGTCGCTGGTATTTCAAATACCAGCAGGGTCACCCACAGTGAACAGGTTTCAGTGGACCTTCCAGACTAACAACGGACAATGAAGATGGACTCGGCTTCCCACTTAGAAGAAGAAGTCACTGGAAACTTCCTGCCTAAACAAAGCAAGCAAACCATTGTACAGGTACTGCTGGCAGATGGGCCTCTCAAATTCAAGGGCACTCAACATGTGACTGAAGAGGAGATGATTTCTTGGAGGGGAATCGACTATGGTGACATTAGTCCAGTAAAGCATATGGGAGTGGAGCTTTCTGGATTTTCATTTGCTGATGGGACATGACTCCAGGTAAATAGAAACAGCTACAGTCTTCTAATGATTGGAACCTGGAATGTGCTAAGTATGAATTTAGGAAAACAGGAAATGGTCAAAAATGAAAATGGAATACATGAAGATCAATGTGCTAGGCACTAGCGAGCTGAAATGGTAGTGACCACTTTGAATCAGAAAATCATGTGATATACTTACTTTGCCAGGAATAGCACAATCCAGAGAAATGACATGGCATTTGTTGTGAGAACGGATCTTGCTAAATCCATCATGAAGTACAATGCTGTCAGATTGTATCTATTAGCCTTCAAGGAAATACAGTCAATACAACTATTACTCAACTTTTTGCGCCAACCACAAAAGCTAGTGATGAAGAAATTGAAGAATTCTACCAATGACCTCATTCAAGATGCATTAATAGTTATTAGCGATTGGAATGCAAAAGTTGGAAATAATGAGGAAGGAACAGTAATTGGAAAATATGAACTTGATAACAGAAATGAAACTGGAAACCACATGATAGAATTTTGAAAAACCAATGATATGTGTATAGCAAATTCCTTTTATCAACAACACCAAAGCTGACTGTATGCATGGACTTCCCCAGATGGAAAATACAGAAATCAAATGGACTCCATCTGTGGGAAGAAAAGTTGGAGAAGCTCAGTATCAGCAGCTAAAACCAGACCAGGGCTGACTGTGGAACACGCCATCAATTGCTCATATGTAAGTTCAGGATAAACCTGAAGAAAACGTAATCAAGTTCATAGGAGCCAAAATATGACCTTGAGTCTAACCCTTCTGAATTTTGAGAACATCTCAAGAATAGATCTGATGCATTGAACAGTCATGACAGAAGACCTGACAAGCAAAAGATCATTAAAAAGACAGGAAAGAAAGAAAAAACCAAAGTGGATGTCAGAAGAGACTGTGAAACTTGCTATTCATCATAGAGTAGTGAAAGCAAATGGAAGAAAGGATGAAGTCAAGGAGCTGAATATAAAATTTCAAAGGGCAGCTAGAGACGACAAAGGCAGCTATAACAAAATGTGAAGGACCTAGAATTTGAAAAACTAAAGGTAAAAACATCTGAAATTGAAGAACTCAAGAAAAAATTCAAATCTCGAATGGCAATTTTGAAAGATTCTACAGGCAAAATATTAAATGATACACTAAACATCAAGAAAAGATTGAACCAATGGTGCTGAAGGAAGAAGTTCAAACTGCACTGAATGTATTAGCCAAAAACAAGACTCCAGAAAGTAATGGAATAGCCAATGAAATGTTTCAGAAAGCTAAAGATGCATCGAAAGCACTCACTCATCTCTGCCAGGAAATTTGGAAGACAGTTACTTGGCCAACTGACTGAGAGACATCCATTCCAAAGAAAGGTGGCCCAACAGAATGCTCGAACTATAAAATGATATCAATGATATTGCACACAAGTAAAATTTTGCTTAAGATCATCCAACAATAGTTACAGCAATACAGTGACAGAGAATGGCCACAAGATCAGGGTGGATTCAGAAAAAAACAAGGAACAAGGGATGTCATTGTTGATGGCAGATGAAACTTGGCTCATATCAGAGAATACCATATAGATGTTTACGTGTGTTTCGTTGACTATGCAAAGGCATTTGACTGTGTGGGCCATAATAAACAGAACACAGGAGCACTGCATACCTGTTCGATATGTATGCTAAGCTAATAATTAGAGATGCTGGATTATATGAAGAAGAGTTAGCATCAAGATTGGAGGAAGACTTATTAACAACCTGTGATATGTAGACGACACAAGCTTGCTTGCTAAAAGTGAGGAGGAATTGAAGCAACAACCAATGCTCATGGCAGCCACTGTCAAGAGATCAAAAAACATATTGCATTAGGTCAATCTGCTGCACTGTTCCTCTTTAGAGTATTAACAAGCAAGAGCGTTACTTTGAGGACTAAGTTGTGCCTGACTCAAGCTATGGTATTCTCCATTGCATCATATGCATGTGAAAGTTGAACCTGGAATAAGGAAGACTGAAGAGGAATCTGTGCAATTGAATCGTGGTGCTGGAGAAGAATATTCAAAGTACCGTGGACTGCTAAAGGTATAAACCGATCTGTATTGGAAGAAGAAAGACCAGAGTGCTCCTTAGAAGCAAGGATGGCAAGACTTCGTCTTCTACACTTTGGACATGCTGTCAGGAGAGACTAGTCTGGAGAAAGGCATCATGTTTTGTAAAATGGAGGAGCGTTGAAAAGAGGAAAACCTTCAACGAGATAGATTGACACAGTGGCTGCATCAGTGGGCTCAGGTATGGGAACAGTCGTGAGGATGGCATGGGACCATGCAGTGTTTCCTTCTGTGGAGCATAGAGTCACCGTGCTTCAGAGCTGACTCGCCAGCACCTACAACAGCATTGTTCTCACTTACACCATATTTTCCTACTACTGAGCTTTCTTTTCCATTTCCAATGTTCACAATCCTTTCACCAGTGATTACCAATTCATCATGCTGGCTCAATTTCAGACTGCAGACTTTTGTGTAACTGTTTATTTTTTACTTGGATAATAGTATTATTAACTGGTCTTCCTTGTAGGCATGTGGATGTTATCTGGTCACTGCAGCTAGTTCTTCGGGATTAATCCTGAAATGTTGGTTTTGTGATGAAATTGACTCTATTCCTCTTAAATTTGTTATTTCTGGCATAGGAAACCATATGATTGTTCAATTCAAAATAGCCAATCTAAGTCCATTTCAGTTAACTAATGCTCAGGCTACTGATCTTTATATATTCAATTTCATTTCTGATGACTCCCAATTATCCTAGTTTCATACTTTGTACATTCCATGGTTTAATTATTGATGGATATTTGCAGCTGTTTCCTCTACTCCAACTCTCCTTTTTCTCTCCATCGCATAAGGAAAAAAATGTAGATAAATGAGAATCTTATGCCAAACTTCACACTTAAAAAAAAAAAGTTAAGTATCTGATCTGCCCATCTGTAGACAATTGGACATCCCCTCACAGGAGGGTTACAGGGAAGAGATGAGCCAGTCAGGGTGCCGTATGATGAAACACACAACTTTCCTCTAGTTCTTTGGTACTTTCTTCCCCCCACTATCATGACCTCAATTCTACCAGACAAATCAGATTAGACCAGAACATGCACACTGCTACAGAAAAGAACCTGCAGCACAGGGAATCCAGGATAGGTAAACCCCTCAGAGCCAACAATGAGAGTAGAGAAACCACAAGGATCAGGGAAGGGTCGGGGGAAAAAGAGGGAATCGATCACAAGGATCAACCTATAACCCCCTCTCAGGGGGACAAACAATGGAAAAGTGGATGAGGGGCAATGGAGAACGATGTAAAATATGAAAATAATAATCTAAACCTTATCAAGGGTTCGTGAGGGAGGGTGGGCAGGGGAGGGAGAGGGAAGAAATGGGGAGCTGATATCAGGGGCTCAGGTGGAAAGAGAATGATCTGAAAAGAATGATGACGGCATATGGGCAAATGTGCATAACACACCGGATGGATGGGTGGATTGTGATAAGAGATGTAAGAGCCCCCAATAAAAGTATTTCATTAAAAAATAATTAATTTTTAAAATGTGAAGTACCATGAAACCTGTTTATTTATATGGCATTGACTCTTGCTTGTGGGTTGAAGGAGCGTGTAAACACTATTATTTTTCAAAAACCTGAAAATATTTGCAGTTATTATTATGCTTTTGCCAGGTGCTAGTTAAATGCCATTTTCTTGGACAAATTTCCCTTGGCCCCTCCCCAGTCCTGTTTGGTGGCCCTTCATTACATTCCCGTAGTACGCTGAAGTTCGCTATCACGCCACTCATTGTGGTATTTGGTTCCTTATCTAGTGCCTAGTCTGTGTAGTCTATGGCCTGTAAAGGCCATAGTGTTCTCATTGACCCTTCTATCTATCTTATACAGCACTCATTCAAACTCACTGCCACCGAGTCAATGCTGACTCATAGTGATCCTATAGGACACGGTACGACTGCCCTATGAGTTTCTGAGCCTATAACTGTTTATGGCAGTAGGCAGCCCCAGGACCTCAATAATTTATTTGATACATATTTTGATTTATTGGTGTTTTTGTTTGTTTTGATTTGTTTTAGAACTAAATCCACATATATTTTGATAATAAAAATATATATTTGATACTACTTTCAGGTTCTGTGAATCCTCCTACGGATCCCCCACTCAGTGTTATGGAATCTACTCTTAACACCCAATATCCCACAGCCAACAGCGGACTGCCTACAAGTAAGAGGGTTTGCCTGTTATTTTTCTTTGCATGAATTATTATTCCTTTTTCCAAGCAGTTTGATAATGAAAAAATCAGAAAACTTGCTTGATTCATGATCTTTTCTTTTAACCTGTAATATATTACATAAGCATATTAAATAGTAGTCTCAGGCCTTTGAAGGGTTAATACAGCTTTCAACATCCTTTATTTAAAGCCCTGGGAAAATCGGGTCAAGAAATATTTAGTGTGAAATTCAGATTCTGTATTTATTATGAAATAGGGTAATCAATGGACAACCCTTCTTTACAACTATGTTCTCAGTGGGGTGTTTTAAGAAACTGGTTGTAAATGGGGATCCTATGGGCCAGAGGCATTTAGATAGTTTCTCGTTTAAGTTTGTTCTGGTTCAATCTTATTCTAACAAAGTTAACAGGTAAGAACTATGCATTCAGCTCTCCCAGCTATAGTATTACTAACAATGGAAGCCAGGCTGTAACTATGGCAAAGACATTGAATTGACTTTCATAAGTCACGTTGATGCGAACAAATTGTAAATCTTCATACTGTGGCCTTTATACTTAACAAAGAACTATCTACAATACAATACCCAAAAAAGGTTATATTCTATGTAGGTAAAAGTATGGTTTACATTACTTATTTAATTAAAGCCATCAATTAGAGCCCAAAATTATAGTTGGAAATGGAGTGAAACATAAGCAATTGGAAAGAATGAGAAATTAATTCCTTGGGCCTGTAGCCCTTGGCATCCCCTGCAGTCACTGTCAAGAAATGTAGCATGTGGCAGAGTGAAGGATGCCTGCAAGTCACCCATCAGAAATTTTATATCCATCAATGTTTTCTTGTTCTTAATGTTTTGTAAATTTCATTTCGTGTGTGTACGTGAGGTTATTTTTGTTTTGTCCACTTCTAACTCATTATTCAGCTGTGAATCAGAGTGGCGGCATTCTTCATCTAACAACTGTTAGCTTAAACTATGACGATACCTATATTTCCATCAACCCACTGCTGTCAAGTCAATTCCAACTCATATCTACCCTGAAGAACAAAGTACAAATTTCCCATAGCGTTTCTTAGTCTGTGCATTTTCACAGCGTGGTGTGCCACTTCTTTCTCCCATGGAATGGCTGGTAGATAGAGCTTCATAGTACCCCTTGTATTAGTTTTCTGTTGTTAGAAAATAAATCACCTCAAAACTTTGAAACTTAGAAAGCATCTTTTGTCTCACACAGTTTCTAAGGGTCAGAAACCCAGGAGTAGCTGGATTGTTCTGACTCAAATTCTTCCAGGAGATGACCATCAACTCTCTTCTAGAACTTCGGCAATCGGCCTCCAAACTCAAGCATGTTAGCAAATAGGTCTCAGTGCCTCCCCACATGGCGCTTCCCATAGAAATGGTCAAACCATGAAATTTGGTTTCCTCCAGGTCCAGTCCTCCAAAGAGAATGACCAAGACAAAAACTACAGGATCTGTTTGATGACCTCGTGTCCAAAGCTGCACATGGTGTCCATTTATTAAGAACAAGTCACTAAGACTAGTTTCAAAGCACTCCCAAACAAATTAAAACCACCATACTCTGGCATTTAGAAAATGTATTCATCCAAAATGGAATATAGTTTTATCTCCTCTATTATCAAAGACTGATAGGGCAAGCATTATTGTTGGTGTTTTCCAGATAAGGACACCCGCATACTAAACACGCAACTAATAAGAGGTAGAACTAATCAGGCTTCTGACTCTCAATCCCTACACAACTCCATAATTTCTTATATTTCTCATAGATAGATAGACTCCTAACACATGGCTGACACAGAGTAGGCACTCTATTACTAGGAAACCCTAGTAATTTCAAAATAGTACAGCGAAAGGTGCCATACCTTTTATAATTGAGAAGCCTACAGAGAGGTCAGATCAGTAAGTGTTAGGTTTAGAGTAAAGAAAAAAATCACTCTGGGTGCATGGGTTCAGGACAGGTTACCTAAGAGAGATGAAATCAGCGAATCCCTCAAGGGTTTATTGTATTTACTCCACTCCATCAATAGCTTAAAGAACATTCTTAACAGAGAGAGCAAAGTGAGCGGTTCTGCATTGGTAAGATCTTCACTGGCACTTGAGAAGCTATCAGGAAAGACACTTGAGTAAAAGAAGTGAAATTGTGTAGCAGGGAAGTGGGCATCACGAATGAAAATATCAGAATAAAGAGAGTCATAAACACAGTCTAAGGACTCTAGATATTCCCCCTTAGGGAAGGAAGCAGGGACTCTAGTAAATATTTTTTAGAAAGAAAGTTACATAATTTACTAACCAGGTATTTATTGAACAATTCTGAAGTACTCTTCTGGGGGCCACAAATACAACAGTGAACAAACAGGGGGGAAAATCCCTGCTCATGTGGCATGTTTATTGCTAGTTGAACCCAGACAAGAGTTTTTTTCACCTGAGTTTGCTATGAACTTCGTCAACACGCATTAAGTGCTCATGAATTACCAAACACGAAGAACCCTTCTTAGTCTATGAATATAATCAAAGAAAACAAAAGCACATCTGTTATCCTAAAAGAGTTTTTAATATAGGCTAGTATGACGAAGGACAACATCTGTAGCCAAGGGGACCCAGGGCCCATCAAGGGGAGATTGTGGACATCCCCTTGCAGAAGGGATGCAGGGAGGTGATGAGCCAGTCAGAGTGCAGTGTAGCAAGGATGAAATATACAATTTCCCTCTAGTTCTTAAATGCTTCCTCTCCCCACCCCCCCTACTATCATGATCCTAATTCTACCTTACATATCTGGCTGGACCGGAGGATGTACACTGGCACAGATAGGAACTGGAAATACAGGGAATCCAGGACAGATGAGCCCCTCAGGATCATCAGTGGTGAGAGTGGTGATACCGGGAGGGGGGAGGGGAGGGGAGGGAGAAAGGGGGAACAGAGGACAAGGTCTACATATAACCACCTCCCTGGGGGACGGACAGCAGAGAAGTGGGTGAGGGAGATGTTGGATGGGGTAAGATATGATAATATAATAATATAAATTATCAAGGGGGAGGAGGGACGGGGGAGTGGGGAGGGAGGGGAAAAATGAGAAGCTGATACCAAGGGCTCAAGTAGAAAGCAGGTGTTTTGAGAATGATGATGGCAACATATGTATGAATATGCTGGACACAAATGATGTATGTACAGATTGTGAAAAGAGTTGTATGAGCCCCTAATAAAATGATTTAAAAAATAAAATAGGGGTTGACATAATTAAAATAAATATATATATAGTCAAGTAAATATATTTATTAAAAACATAAACATATTCTAATTGATCTACTATTATTCTAAGGTAGTATAGTCGGGATGTATCTGGACAACTAAGAGAACTCTTTAAAATTCAACCTCAGTATATTCAAGTAGAGGTGATTTTATATCAGTAGTTTTGATCCCAGATAATTTTGAACACTAGAGAACACTGGGTGATGTTTCAAAATATTTTTGGCATTTCCATGTTGAGTCAAGAGGGAGTTTGTGACTGGCATTTAGTAGGAGGAGACTAAGGATGCTGTTAAGCACCTGACAACTCCAGAGCAAAAAAATAAAAATTATATACATGTATCAATATGTATATATACATATTTGGGTCAATATATATGTAGGTCAAAGCTTCAATCATGCCAATGCTGAGAAACTTGTTTTGGTTCAAGATCCCAATGTAATAAAAGTAGGTGTATCTCACTTTATAAAATCTGGATCTCCTGTCAAGTTGATTTTATATATATGTTCGGAAGAATTTTCCATCTGATCTTTATAGGTCAAAAGCATGTTAAATTTATGACTAATTATATGGAAATAAAATTTATTTTCTTAAAAGAAAATTATACATTTTGTCTTGAGGGTGATTGTGCAGTCCCATGATGACTGGCTGCCTCGGGAGCATGCATCCTTGGATGCCCCATCAGAAAAGCAGCAAGATGGACCATGCTATGGAGAACCACTTCAAAAGACTGTGATTTCATTCCAAATTCTAAGCTGTAATGAGCTCTATAATTCCATCGTAATAATTGAGACCTAGCTCCCTATAAACATTCGATTCCCATTCTTTTTGGCTCTATGAATAATATATATTCAACAAAACTAGAAGGTGATTGAAACGCTATGATTGAAGTGAGGAAATAGAACCTTATTAACTCATAACAAACTCTAAGAGTTACCTGGGAGAACCTAACTCCAATCCACGTGAACCAATTCATGCTTGTTGAGTCCCAAATGCATTCCCAGCACGGACCTGGGGAAACAGGCCAACAAGCTAAGTGGCAAGATGAGACAAGTCCACGTGGAAGGATCAGAGGCACCTGACAAGTCCAGGGTGGGGTAGTACTGGGATAACCCAGGAGCTTCTGTTGCCCTGAGGCAGGCTTCAAACCAGTTCTTCCTGGTTCAGTTATGGCTGACAGAGTGAACCGGAAACAGACCCCAAAATGTGGGTATACTAAACCCATAACGAGGACAGGAAAAATCATGGGTTGACACCTTCCTAGAAATGTGTGTCCCTCTTAGAAAATAAGGTTGCTGTGCATTGGAACCAACTCTCTTTACCGTCAGAGGAGGAAACAATAGTGTCCTGCTCCAGGGTGGAAGCCAACTTCAGAGATTTGAATGCACGTTACTCTCCACAGTCCTCGCAATTGTCCAGTCTCCCTCCTCAAGCTCCTGAGAGAGCACAGGGCACTTCTTCCAAGGCTCCCTTCCCAAGTCTTTTGACTTAGAATTCTTTCCATGTTTCACTGTATTTGCATTTTACAAACTCAGGTCGATTCGCACTTCACTTTGCTGACCATGCCGAACCGGTTCAGACCGGTTGAACACAAAGAGATACCGGAGGAGTCCTATCCTGAAGAAGTACCTTCTAATCTACCGTGCGAACTAGCTACTGGTAATGCAGCCTAAAACAACAACAACAACAGGAGCCAAAATGCCAGCCCTGACTCTAGCAGTCATCCAATTTGCCAGGAC